TCAAAAAGATCCCCACCAAGACATGTCATAATTGGCAAATATTAACAACAAAGAGAGAATCTTAAAGGCTGCAAGAGAGAGAGAGTTACCTACAAAGGATTGCCCATTAAATTATCAAATTATTTCTCAACAGAAACACATCAGACCAGAAGGGAATGGAATGAAGTAGACAAAGTGATGCAAAGCAAGGGACTGAATCCAAGAATACTCTATCCAGCAAGGCTATCATTCAAAAAATTAAGGGGAAATCAGGAGCTTCATAGACAAAAAAAGGCTAAGGGAGTTTATCGCTATGAAACCAGCAATGCAAGAAATGCTAAAGGGACTGTTGTAAAAAGAAAAAAAATAGAAAGGGAAGAAGTAACACAGACATAAAGAATAAAGATGGCTACAAACAAGTATCTATCAGTAATAGCCTTAAATGTAAATGGACTAAATGCTCCAATCAAAAGACATATGGTGGCTGAATGGATTAGAAATCATGACCCATACATATGCTGTCTATAAGAGACCCACCCCGAACAAAGGACTCACACAGACTGATGGTGAAGGGAAGGAAAAATATTTTTCAGGTAAATGGAAATGAAAAAAAAAGCTGGGGTAGCAATACTTATATCTGACAAAATAGACCTCAATGTGAAGGCCATAACAAGAGATAAGGAAGGCCACTTCATAATACTAAAGGGATCGATACAAGAAGAGGATATAACTTTGGTAAGCACATATGCACCCAAATACATTAAAAAATTCTGGAAGATATCAAGAGAGACATTGACAAAAATACAATCATAGTAGGGGCCTTTAACACCTACACCCCACTGACATCACTGGATAAATCCTCTAGACAAAAAATCAGCACCAGAACAGCAATCCTAAACGACTCACTAGATCAGATGGACTTAATCAAGCGACATCTTTAGAACATTTCACCCAAAAGCTACAGAATACCTATACATTCTTCTCAAATGCACACGAGACATATTCAAAGATAGCCCACATATTAGGACACAGGCAGTCTCTCCAAACTCAAGAAGATTGAAATCATATCAAGCATCTTCTCAGATCACAATGGCGTAATCCTATCTAATAATAGACAAGTATGGTAATTGACTGTACCTTCGCTATGCCTCCCATTAGCTAATCAGCACAATATGCAAATTAACCACCAACAAAGATGGCAGCTAATTTGCATACTGCAGGCAGGGCGGGACAGCACAAGCCGCCAGTGCGAGCCACCATCCAGGCCCCCGTGTGTGACCCCAGAAGCCACCTGCCTGCCGCCTGGGATGGAATCCGGTCTCTCCTAATTGCTTCTAGCATAATTTATTAAATTGTGCTAAAATTTACAAGGCTTCAATTAAAAAATATCTTAATTCTAAATGATATAATAGAAAATATATAATAGTGCAGTTATAAGCACTTATCTGAAAATAAAAATTTAAAGAAGTGAATTTAAAGAAGGGATTAGCCCAAAAAAATATATGCACAACCTATGGACACAGACTACAGTATGGTGATGGCCAGAGAGAAGTGGGGGGCAAGAGCTGGTTAGAGGGGGCAAAAGGGGGGAAACTGGGACATCCTATATAATAATAATAAAAGGCTAATATGCACATTGACTGAACAGCAGAATGACCGGTTGCTATGATGCACACTGGCCACCCGG